TCATACTAGTACCTTAGCAGAAATTGATCTGGATCTAAATGATAACCTAATATTCTACTAAGCTCATAATGATACTAGTTTTTGTCTTTCCATCACCTCCAGTTTCTCTATCTCCCTCCCTCCCTCTCCCTCCCTCCCTCCCTCTCTCTATCTCCCTCTCTCCCACTTTCTCTAGGGAAGAAAAGGACTAAGACAGAGAATTCAGCCTTCTTAATTGTAAGCCTCATTAGTGATGGTTGCCAGGCAAATACACACCTATGAAAGAGGTAAACAATACGTCATAGATCATAATGACTCTTGTGCTTGGGGCAACCTTTAATTATTATATTTTTTGTTCTCTCTTATCTTAGCTATTAGAGAAGAAAAACATTTTTCTTCTGCAAAGAACATTAATATTCTGATGTCTAAATTATATTTTAATTAGTTCATCATTGCATGTAATCACCATTCCTTTATGTTTTCAGTAAATCTGATTTACTATTTGTAGATTGTTGAATTTTGTGTCATTACTAGAATTAATGAAAAGGCTGGTCAACTGTACAGTAGAATCTACTTGTCTAGCTTCAGTAGTGGCATGACAATGGTATATGAATGAAGCATTGATTCTTGGCATAAAAATTTCAACAACCACAAACAGATTATCTATCAGAGCCATGTAATCCAGTATCATGTTTATGATCATGGCTAACTACATTCCTAAAGGCATAAAATGGACATAAGATGGCATGAGGACACTAATCTTATCTGCTTTTGTTCACATTGTTCAAAATCAGAAAAAGTCTGTGTGTGTGTTTGTGTGTAATGTATCTTGGAGGACATATATATTAGAGATCATATGACAATAAGCTCCTATTGATAGTTTTATTTTTTGTCAATTTATTGAGTACCTTTTGAAAGTCAGAGGTTAATGTGCATCACTACATCCCCTACAATCAAAATCCATATTTTAATTATAAACAGTGTCAAGAAGCAACATGTGAAGAAATAATTTTTATTTATTTATAAGCGTGGCTTTGGAATTACTGAAAGAATTAAACTTTGAGTTTATCCTGATTTAGGGGAATGCAAGAAGCCATTCTTCAACATTGGTGAATGTAGTGTAAGTACAAGGCATCTCATAGAATACAGTATCATTACACCCACATCATAACCTTTGCAATTTGCTGACTCTCTGTATTAATTTTTATTTTAAGATGCAGGGAACATGGAAGAGAGAACTCTTGTTCTGTCCCAAGTGGCAAGGACATATAGCTGAATTCAGCCTACTAATGTCTATGGAGATTCTCAGTCATCCAGATCATGGTTGTCCCAAAGGTGCTTTTTTCAAGAGACAACTGGATTTTCTGGTTTTACTTTGAAGATGTTTCGCTTCTCATCCACTTCCCACCATCCAGTCAGAGCTAAAGAAGCTTCTTGAATGAGTAATGAAATGTCTTTGAAGAAAAACCAGAAAGTCCAGTTGCCTCTTGAAAAAAGCACCTTTGGATCAACCTACTGATATATTAAGGTAGATAAAATAGTTATTATTTGCAGAAGATCTTAATTTCTTGCCCAAGTAGCTTATAACTCAACATTAGGTCAACTAATTATTCTCCGTTAATGGTATTTTTGCATTTCTGTTTCAATGTTAACAAAATATTGGTTGTGATGCCTGAATCCCTGCAATTGTTTTTCCCAAGAGATTCAGGTGCCCCCCATTTTTTTATTGTTCTGAAAAGCTATAAATCTTTTATTTTTCAAGCAGTTATTTCCATGTTTGTTATTTCTGTAGTTTAAGGATTAGCATCATGTCTTCTGATTTTTATTGTATTATTTATTCTGCTGTGGAAGATCATATATGTGGCAAAAAGTGGCCTATTAACGGTATAAATAAACACTGTTCTTACATGAAAAGAAAGCAGTGCTGACTTTAATATAATGTTTTCAGCTCCCAAAGGAAGATTAGGCAGGAAAAAAACCTCTGATATGTATTATCTGAAAACCATTACTACATTGTCAATGACAACTTTTCTATTTTAAATATAAATTATTTGGGGGAAATGTTATCTCTTTTTCAGTAAAATGTAACATGTATTGCTCTATACTATTAGAAATATATCCATTATTACTCTATAGATTTGTTAGGTATCAGTGGCTCTTTCAATAAAAGTAACTGGGATTGGATTTGGCCTTAAGTAAATCCTAGATAAATATCAGATGTTAGATGCTTGAATATGCAACCTGCAGTGGTTGACAATGTTTTATTTTAGAGAATTGAAATTACTTTTTTCTAACATTTTTAAGGGGGGGAGAGAATAAAGAGACATAGTGCCTTAATATGCTGCATTAAGGCCCAGCCCAGTGAGTTGAGTGAAGTCATAGTAAATTCTTCACAAAAACTACCATTGATCACGTTTTAAGGTTCTGTGCAAACTTACATTCATAATGATTTCAAAAAAGCCAAAGTAAAAGAAAAATCGAACCGAAACAGAAAAAGCTGTTAGCAAATAAATAGAAAAGAATAGAAAAGGGCTGAATATTGCAGATGTTGTAAGAAATTCTAAGTCAAAAGCAAATAAAGAAGGAACAACCTTCTTTTTAAAGTGGAATCAGAAAAGCTAATGCATTTTAATGGGATGAATCCGGAGGACAAAGAAACCATGAAAAATAAATAAATATGGTGGTGTGCAGAAAAAAAAATGGGGCAAAGAAAACATTGCAAATTAAAAAGCCATGTAAATGTGTGCCTACCATTTTCCAGATAAGAAGGGGCCGTACCTTCTGAGGGGTCAAGGCGGCGAGCCCGCCTTCCATGTTTGGAGTTGTTGTGTACAAACATGTTGTCTGAGACAGCCAGAACATGGCCATCCACATTGACTGTTGTTGATACAACAACCTGGGAGGGAAAGAAAGAAAAGAAAGACATTCCTTTTTTTGAAGCATACAGATTCTAAAAGTGGGGTGCACCTATTGCAATAAACATCATGCTGAAAAAAGGTATAATGTAGTATGCTATTTTGAACACAATGTTATTCATAGATGCAATTCACTCTCTCTTTTTTGGCTATCACTGGAGATTTTCCTACACACAATTCACCTCCCTTCCTCACACTCTCCACACTAATTAGAGTTTAATCTCCTATTATGCTAACAAATGAATTCAATTCTAGGAAAATATTCTTCTAGTCATTTGTTTCAGAAACACCCCTCTAACCACTCATTTTAAAAGCTACTGTTTTGATTGATCTGTTGATATATTGATTAGATAGTTTATCTAATTAAAATTTGTACACTTGAGACTGTCTTCAAATGAAGAATTGTGAGCACTCCAAGTCAAAGGGGAAAATACTTCATAAATCAGTAGCTATGTGTAACTTTCTGCTGTTCTCTTCAGAAATGATCTTTAGGTCATTTTTGCTATCGTATTTAGAAAGCAATCTTATAAATAGGTGTTATGGGACAAGGAATTTCCAAAAATAGAAGAATTGCCTCATTTAAAGATTGAAAAGGAAAAAAAGAAATGGCTCTCCATCTCACTGTAATAAACATTACTATTATTGGGCCTGATATAATTTGTCTCATATTATAGAAATATTTTGGGACGAAGGATGTCTTTGTTTTTATAAATTCAGCCTTTTAGCTTCTTCATGCAACTCACATTTTTGACGCTTCTTATAATCTGAGAAAAATAAATCCAGAATAGATCTTAACATCTTCCTTGAGATTATATGATTGCAGCTATTCTAGCGCACCATAAAAATATCATAAAATATGAATGTTCTAACAAATTAGTTAGCAGGGTAAAAACAGGCATAAGGAGATGTCCTTCATCTTCTTTCTTTTTTTTTAAAAAAAGAATATGCTTTCTGCATGCAGTACAGAAATATCCTTTCTAGCTACATATAATTATCTCACATCTGGTGAGATTCAGGAGACCATTGGATCTTTTAGATCCAAATATTTCCTCATTTCTTTCCCCACTCAATTATCAGAATCATATTTCATGAAAATTCTAAATTTCTGTTTTTCGTCCTTGTCAGGAAAATAAAAAAGATTCACAAAATGCTATGAAAAGAACCAGGAGGAGATTACTATGTTAGATTTGCACATCTATATCAGAACAATTCAAAATTCACCAAACAGAACTGATCCCCAAAGGGAGAAGGGATTAATCGCTCTCCAAAGAACTTTCAGAAGTTCTTTGCAGATGACACTAAGCTGGGGGGGGGGGAATAGCCAACACCACAGAAGACAAGCTCTGGATCCAAAAAGATCTTAACAGACTTGAATAATTGGTCCTATCGAACACAATGAAATTTAATGTGGAGAAAAACAAGGTATTACACCTAGCGGGGAAAAACCAAAGATACAAGTACAGATTAGGCAAAACCTGGCTCAAAAAATAATTGTGAGAGGGACCTTGAAGTCCTAGTGGATGATCACTTAAACATGAGTCAGCAGTGTGCAGCAGCAGTCAAAATGTGAAGTTTTCATACCGCTTTATAAATCCTTAGTAAGACCACACCTGGAGTATTGCAACCAGTTTTGGTCACCTCATTACAAAAAAAGATGTTGAGACTTTGGAAAAAGTGCAGACAAGAGCAACTAAGATGGGCCTGGAGAAAAAAAACATTTGAAGAATGGTTGCAGGAATTAAGTATGGCATAATAGAAGTGTTCCAGTATTTGAGGGGCTGCCACAAAGAAGAGTGGGACCACTTATTTTCCAAAGCACCAGAAGGCAAGACAAGAAACAATGGTTGGAAACTAATCAAGGAGAGAAGAAACCTGGGATTAAGGAGAAACTTCCAAACAGTGAGGACAATTAACTGGTGCAACAGATTGCCTTCAGAAGTTCTAGACCCTTCATCACTGGAGTTTAAGAAAAGACTGAGCAGCCACCTGTCTGAAATGGTATAGGGTCTCCTGCTTGATTAGAGTAGAAGATCTCCAAGGTCCCATCCAGTTCTATTCTGATTGATTGAATGCATTCTTAATGCCTGATAACTAATGTTTTCTGTAGCTGAAAAGAGCATATTGATTAGGAATATCAGAAATGTCTTCAGTCACTTCTAATGCAGAAAGTAGTCATAATCAACTTAAATCATATGTTGATTTATTCTACCACGACAATGACTTTTCCTTTTTTATCTTTAATTGGAACTCTTCTATTTCCAGGTTCAGAAGCACATTGACCAACCAGAACTAAATAGATCCAACCCTGTCTATTGCTATTGCTGTGTCAACCACAGGAAAATGGTGAATAAGGCTTCCAGACTGTTTCTTAGCACAAATTTTTAAATGAATTTTAAAATAAGTAAATAAATTTTAAAATGCAAAATTTGCAAAATTGAAAATTCTTGCATTAACACCTATCCATTAGATGTTAGATGCCATTCTAACAATTAATTATCATTATAATGAAAAGCCTTTCCTATTGCATTCACATGTACACTTATAAGATAAGATACTTTCATACATTGTATTGATTGTAAGGATTTTATATGTGCTTATAAGTCTACAAATTAAATTTAGAAAATTATATTAAAAAACTGGACAGAAACTCCAGTGACAACAATGTGTACAGTAGTTAAGGTTTTGGATTAAAAAAAAAATCCAGATTTTATTTTATTTTTATTTTATTAATTTTATTTGTTTGTCAAACATGTACAGGATAACAAGTATAGGTATGAACATAAACATGAACAAAGGAAATAAATACAGATAAATGGGCACAGTAAGACAGGGATGGTAGGCACGCTAGTGCGCTTATGCACGCCCCCTTTAAGGACCTCTTAAGAATGGGGTGAGCACCTTCAACCATGGATACTCATAGAGAGATGAAATGAATGGAACCACACCCTTATTCTGTATCCAAATACCTTACAGCAGGGGTCCCCAATACCAGTTCACAGCCAGTACAGGTCCGTGGCCTGTAGGGAACTGGCCCACCCAAGCAGCAGGACAGCACGCGAAACTTCATTTGCACATGCACAAGATCTAGACCGCATGTGCAAAACTATCCCTCCCCAACCGCCACTGCTGGCACCCGTCCATGGAGCCAGAAAAGATGGAGACTGCTACCTTACAGGATTGTTGTGAGTCTGTAGTTAAGGTAGTATATTAATCTAACATATCAATTTTTAAAAATGTTTCTCGACTCCTGTACTGTTATTTCTCTAGGTTTCTGTGTTTCTTTTTCTAATGAAACCCTTCTTTTTTTCTAGTACAAGATTGGGGAAGGTTCTGGGCATATTGACAAAATCACATGGTGTCTTGAAAGAAAAGAAAGGAAGAACTTACAATGGTATCACAGATAAATTAATGCAATATATACTTTCCCTTTGGAAACCAGGGAGTACAGGGCATCAGATGTAAATTCTTTCGTATTTTCAATATTTTGTATTTTGTATTTTCACCTTTGATCCTGTTTTTTTTCCACATGCTCTAATTAGCTATCAGCTATTATAGCACCTTCTCCTGTATATTCGGCCTCCTCTGAGGCAGCCATCTGTGTTCCCCTTGAGAAAAGCCTGAGGGTGTTTCTCTAGAAGCCTGTGATTCTGCAGCCTGCACTGTTTTCTCAGGAAAAAAAGAAAGAAAAGCAAAACAACCCTCCCTCCAAAAAAAAAACCACCACATGCACAGACTGTATTGTTTGTCTAGGTTATCCATTTTAAGGGACTCACACTGTTAACTATTTACAACATTTTTAATTCCATCCCTACCTTATCAGGCTAGTGGTTTTTAGCTTTCGTGAGTTATTAGGTGATTGGTACACCCGTCCCAGGATTGAACTGTCACAACAATTGTCCACAGAATGAAACATTTTAAGTACAGTTCTAAGCCAAATTTTTGTCTCAATTTTTTCCCCTAATTGATAGGCCCAAAATATAATTTTTAAAGGGTAATGTCTTTAAAATAGGCACTACAAATATGTCACAGAGTAACGATAATAGTGGTGAGGGGAGAGATGGTGTTGTCCACAAAAGTACATTTGCATTCTCCTTAATATCATTTGGTTAGCTCCTTTTTGCAGTGCATCTAATGAAACTGCTGACACATATATTTTTAAAACAGATTTAAAATCTTGTTTAAGATCTGACATCCTGTTAAATCTACTTAAACATTGTAAGAAGCCAGCTTATTCTCTACGGAAGCTGAAGGAAGACTTTCTGGGAGTTCTGTTGCAGCTATATGATTACTTATGACTGGTGAGACAAGTGGGTATTTCTACGAATTCCAGGTTTTAAATTCAAGTGAATGCCAATTTCAAAGATTTTATCTTTCCTTTAAAATGTATTTGGTAGGTCTACCAATAGGGAAAAAAAAGTAAAGGTAAAATCATCAGTTAGAATTGTATTTAACACAAGGAGTCTTCGCTTAATGATTAGTCACTGAGATCATCCAAAGTTACTACAGCCTTGGAAAGGGTGCTTTAAAATCTGTATTAGCATTTCCAACCATTGTAAAATGTGGCATTTAGACATAGAATAACAGAGTTAGTAGGGACCTTGGAGGTCATCTAGTCCAACCCTCTGCTCTATCAGTAGAGTCTATTCCAAATATTAGCCTCTACCTAGGATCGAACTCACAGCCTCCTGATTGTGAGACGAGAGCTCCACCTCTAGGCCACCGCATTGTCCCTCCCTGTGGTCATGTGACTACAGGCCAGGCTCTAAGCAACCAGCTCACATTTATAACCAGCTGCAAGATCCTGTGGACATATGATGACGATTGGCAACTTTTTTTTTTTGCCATTTTCCATAATATAGATATATATAACCACTGGTTGAAAGTATAACATACATTTTAAGATAAAACTTGGAACATTTCGTATAAAACGATGGAATAAATAGTTTAGTCATGCATGATTAATAACTGATAAATATATAAACATATGTTAGTTTGACAATGTGAAGACTGATATAAATTGTGAGTAAATGATTACAAAAGTATAGCACAAAAGATACATAACCAACTGACACACTGTATGTATATAAAATGGAAGAGGATTTTATGTTTTTATGTTTTTGTATGTGTATGTTTGTGTTTAAAAATAAAAAAACTTTATTTAAAAAAAAAGGAAACTGCAAAAAATGCTCATTGCATATGCTGGATTAGCTTAATATCTATGTGGTTCAAATAATTACCAGGGTGACTCATTTTATGACAGTTGTAAAAATGGTCATAAAATCAAATTAGGTCATGTGGTGATATGCTTATCAACTGCCCTGAATTATAACCAAAATTCCAGGCCCAAGGGTTCTTCTAAATCAAGGACCATCTGTATGTTTCATTTTATGGATAATTGTACTGACAATTCAACCAATTCAGCACTCTATGTGTTTCAATGGATCATTATTATCAATGAGACATAAACACTAAGATGCATGAAAATGAAGACTTCACAAAGTGTTGCCTTTTTATTTCCTATACTAGTATTTATGGCAGAATGAATAGTTTTATTGAATTAGGAAACTATGCATATCTGTCCTCTGCTATAGTCTTTGATAATGCTGTTGGTCTATTATGTTATTTTTTAATATTTCTCTTAATTTCTCCCACTTAGTGAAATTAATTATCTATTAAGGCATAAATTTTTCTATAGTTGTTTGGATTTACCAAGGTAGATTTGGAAAACAATTCTACTTCTCTCATATCAATATTTAAAAAATACTACATAAAAATTACAGTGATGAATCCAACATTCAAGAAATTCTATTTTTTTCTATAGAAATTATATTTCATCGCATTTTTTGTGAAAAATACAGTAATTCAATAGCATAGACAAAGTTCTGAAGGTAGAAAAATTATTATCAGATATTTATAAGTTCTTAGAATTTGTTGCAAGGAGAGTTATTCCTGCTTAGGTCTATTCAGATTTTCATAAGAGAAATAACTAAAATAGGAGTTTAAAGAACAAGATTGAGTTTCTGTTTCTCTCCTGAAGGACAACTGAAAATATAACTTGCAATTAAATTAGAAAATAATTACGAGGGAAATGACAAACCTTGGTTAAATTTGCTACCTTGAGTGTTCTTTCCAAAGTGAATGTACTACCGAAATAAAATAATAGGCTTTCCCTCTGTAAAAATCCTTACAAATCCCCTGTATGTAATTTTAATTCTTTTTAAAAACAGTACCTGGAATCTTCGCATATCTCGTGGGTTTCCTGCATTCTTCAAACAGTTTTGATTGCACTTGAGGAAAAACTTTAGAAAAAATCTACAAAAATACAAAATTAGAATTGGTTAGAAAAATCAGGCATTAAGAATAAATGTTTAAGCATGTAACATGTTGCTACAAATTGCAAGTGATGGATAGCTGAAAATATACTCATTGTATTACTATAAAATGGTAATACATCTAAACTGAAGACTTTTCTTATAACAACAATATATATGAACATCCTTTATTTGCGCAAAGGATGGGCTTGACCATCAAAAGATGCAATTCAGTGCAGATCGGTTTAATAATATTAATATTGCAATCCTAATAATTCTTATTCAGATGCATTCATGATTCAGATTTCAGAATATCTACAATTTTATATCTCCGTATTCAAGAATAAGTCCCAAATAATTCAGCAAGATTAATTTTATCTGAAATATATTGGATTAGTATAGAAACAGAAACCAACATAAAATGAACAGCTGGACTACTTTAAATTGTTATAGAGTCTTACATTTTTCTACATGCTTTAGTCAAGAAGAATTATAGATTCTGGCCCAATTGCCTACATAGTATGAAATCTGCTTCCTGAAATATATGGAAAAATGAATTGAGTTTCTTTCATTCAGAAGGGGTTTATCCCTATGAAGAAGTCTCCAAAATTTTCAGCATTCAAAGTTCAAACTTAAAACAAAGAAATAACCAAAACTTTTAATTTATAATCACTTTAGCAATTCCTGATGGAGAAGGCAAATTGAGAATTGGTGTGTGTGTGTGTGTGTTTTAATAACCCTGAATGCCAGCTAAATCCTAACACAGTAAATCTATCAGCTGAATCAACAACAACATATAAGCCAGGATCTCCTTAACTCAGAGGCCTCCATTCTGGAAACCCAGAAGGTATGATTTTCTAGTCATTTTACTTTCCATAAAACTAGCTCCCTTTACCTCAGGAACATCATAAAGCACTGCTAATAGTGTGACCAACATATAGGCATGAGCTGACTGAGAAATAATGCAGCATAGAGTCCAGGCTATAAACCTAAACTTTTAAGGCTGTCCATTTTTTTATGGAAGACATTTTCTGGCCAAAAGCTTTAGATGATTTCCATATTTTGCTGAAGTTAAGTCATCAGTCTGGAACTCTGCAACCTCCTGCAACGCTAACTGATCCAATCTGCTGGCTAACTGAATTCTTTTAAATTAAAACTAGATATGAGAAAACAGGATTTTCACCATAATTATAAGGGAAGGGCAACCTTAGGATTTCCTTCCTTTACCACAATCTGAATAAAAACATTGTCTCTTGCTTCACTTGACCTTAAGAAAAAAAACAGTTATTGCCAATTTACCCAACTTTCTTTCATTTTGTGGTTCTTACAAAAAAATGTTTATTGTAATTAGTAGGATTGTTTTAATTTTTTGAAAATAGACCTGTACATTTCGCATTTTTGTAGTGTGTGTACGTGTAAGGGAATTGTTTTGATACTTGTGACATTAATAATCACAAACACCCTTTTTGGGGAGATATGCCATTCAGAGTCACATAGCGTGAGTCACATAAATGCAATACATACATACATACATACATACATACATACATACATACATACATACATACAT